GCAATATATTTTTGGAAACATTGGTTTTGGCAGGAGGGATGTTTATATATTTTTTTTATATATATATATATATATATATATATATATATATATATATATATATATATATATATATATATATTAGCAGTATGACCTGTCTTTGACCGGGTATTTCATTATGGGGAATTTTGCCGTTCCTTTGGAGTAAGTTTAAATCAGCCCACCCCAAAATCAATATTACTATCAACAATTGGGGGATTAGCAATTTGAATGGGGGGTGACTCTGAAAAGGGCCGTTTTGCGTTCTCAATCTTGTTTCAGCCTCACGCGCAGCAGCAGTTGAAGAGGCGTTTCTCCTCAGCAGTTCAGTCCATTGATCATCATATTCAGCCTCACGCGCAAAAGCGCTCAGTTATGCTCTTCTGGAAAGTCGATAGCTACTTTGATCTTCGGACTTAGTGGCTCTGAGTGAAGCATTCCGAGAGGCATTTTGAGACAGGCATACTGAACGGTCTAAAGACTATTCTTTAGTCATTATTCGCATAGCGTATCTGGCGGCAGCGGTTTTGCAACCTAGGTAAGTTCTTTTCTTTGGTGGCATGTCTTAAGAAAGTATGAATTGTCAAATGGAATGCGCGGTCAAATACCAGAAGAGAACGCTGAAAAAGTACACGAAACTCTAAGCTCGAATATCTTTAGGAAAGTTTAGAAAAATAAATGTTGAGCAATAAAAAAGTAAGCTTACTTATTACTACAGTGAATAAAATGCAAAAAACCAGCAGGACAATAAAAAGAAATAAATTTGGAACGCCTATAAACGACAATGAAAGCAACACCTTAAAACTGTAGTAGTAGGCTTTATGCAACGGAAAAGGTAAACTCGCCTGAGAGCGATTGGCCGAGAGAAGGGGAATGTGTAAGCAGGGTTGGACGTACAAAATTAGAAGCGGAATTAAGCGGTAGCAATGAGCTTAGGTATGTGTAGACAAACAGTGTGACACGGAAACATATGACTGGACGTGTAAATAGACTTCGTGCAGCCAATGGGCAACAGGTGTCGCGTTCCGCATGTAATGCGTACGCGCGTGCATCAGCGCGTATTTCAGCCCGTGACACATCGTGTGACACAGCGCGTGCTGCAGGGCCACACATACACGCGTTGCAGCACGCGCTAATTATCAATGTCAGCAGCAACCAATGGGCAACATGTGGAGGTGTGAATGAGCTAAGATTGAAATTTTATGTGTGAAAAAGTAATACTAGGAAATGTATTAGGCGAATGAAACTGAAAGAACATAAACAAACAAAACTTAGTAAATGGATACATAGATTTGCAGAATGAGTGGGGTTACTCGTATGGAGGCAGAATGGTACCTAAACGATGAGGTAACTAGGCACATCCCTGATGTTTTACACATATAAATCTTATTTAAGTTTCGTTAAAATCGATCGGTTGTTTCACAGGAAAAATGACGAAAATAGGATGCCTTTGACAAAGGTCATCTTGCTTGAGGCACCATCAACCACCCCTCCAAAAATATTATTTTGTATGCCTGTTGCCTCGCACAGCTGCGTATTGAGCACCCCCTGCAAATGCTACATTACCATCTCTTCATTGTGCATCTTTTACATTAGATTTGCACTCTCTAAATTGATTGTACGCTGCTTTTACCGACATTAAATTTTGCATTTGATTTTTGCGCAAAGTATTTTTTTTTCAACTTCAAGGTTGTAATTTCTTTTCAGTGAATTTAGATCTCAAAACCGAGGCATAAGAATTATCTAACATACCCCAAAAAATCACCGTAATCGGAAGAAAACTTTGGAAACGTATAAATAACATCCGATGACACACACATATACATAGACACATTTTGAGAATTACGCGCGCACACACACACACACACACACATATATATATATATATATATATATATATATATATATATATATATATATATATATATATATATATATCGCAGCGGTTAATAAAAAATTGCTCGAAAATTGCAGCTATTAAGCATATATATATATATATATATATATATATATATATATATATATATATATATATATATATATATTATCCCTAACCATTAGCACGACTGGGAGATTCATACACAACACAATCGTCGGCAGAGACTGACAGTTACATAATTTAAATTCGAAAAACAATATCTGGTTAACGCTGGCGCAGTCAATATATTATATGGGGATTACAGTTTTAATTTTAAAACTACATTTTGCATTTAAAATAGACGGGATATATATATATATATATATATATATATATATATATATATATATATATATATATATATATATATATATATATATATATATATATATATATATATATATATATATATATATATATATATATATATATATAATACGGTAAAAAACCCGTACTAATATGAAAATATTAGTACTGATCACAAAAAAAGGAGCTCAATGTATTTATATATCGCAATATTAATAATCAAACTAATCTTTTTTGTGTGGAATGAAATGAACTTCATGTTTGCAAGGTCAAAAGAATTGGGATGTAACAGTTAACTGTGAAGAATTGATAGTGGAAGCTAAATGGTCAAGTTTAACTTGCCGAAAACACCTAATACATTGTTTACACTTTTCACTATTTCAGTCAGAAGTTAGGCACAAGACCGGGATCAAGAAGGGTGGTTGGCATCTATCTTAAAGGGGAGAAGTTTTATTAGAAAAAACAGTATATTAATCTTATGACGACAAACTGAAAGTATTATAAGTAAACCCAAATTCCAAAATTAAATTTAAATTTAAAGAATATATTAAAAAGAAGCCAAAAATAAATTTATATATATATATATATATATATATATATATATATATATATATATAAAGAGACGTAAGTATTTAATGGAAAGAGAGCGACTTAGGGTTGCGCAATAAGGCAAATACTACTATGGGAATTACAATTACTTTTTTTTCATTTTCTGACGTCATTTAAAGTGATAGAGGAATACGGGAATCAAGGAGTGATTTGGAGTAGCTAACTGAGTCAAAACTGTCTCATGAACATTTGAATTTGCTTTATATTTAAACACTAATTCGTTCCACTAAGTAAATAGTTCGCTTTTATTATTTTAATTTTTTCTTCTAAGCATAAATCATACCAATCTGTTCTGCAGAACCTATAATTTCCAAATTTTCTGTGGGTTAAAATATCGTCATTCAGCTTCCTAAATACGTTTAAGAATGGTGTTTGGTGTTTAGGTTTAGGGCTAGAGAATGAGAACTTAGGAGATTGTTGGCTTGATATATAAACGTGATAGCTTTGCATTTACTCTCTACTGGACAATTATCTTTTGATCTACAACAACAATAGGAGGGTTCGATATCAGCTTTGAAATAGAAATTCTTTAAAATTTGGTTGTTGTGTAAGTTACTAATTTTATAAATGTTGTTGGTACAAGATTAGCTAATCTTAATTGTTTCTTATTAAAAATCTTAGAGGGGTTTTTGAAGTGTTTTTTGATTAACATTAGAAAATTCTTGTTCGATGTTAATATTTGACAGTTTAAACCATATAGTTTTTTTTTTCTGTGTCTACTTTTCATTTCAGATATCTCGCTTTTATTTATAGCGGTTAGATAACACAATTTATTTTTAAAAATATATTTTGGAGAGCATTTTCATATATTTTTATTTTCATTAGATATATTTACGTTGGATGACAATGGAATAATCCTAGTGTTAACAAATGTAGGGATCTGTTTCACAATGGCATTGGGTGGGGGTAGAATTAACATTTATATAGGTGGGTATTTCGTTGTCTTTATGGTAAAATTTAAACATTTTATTATTGTGGTAAAGGATGATATGTAAATACTCAACTATTTTAAGGTGAGAGGAAATCTTAATCCTGAATCATAGTAATTTAAAGACCCTAATAATTTCCTTTTGGATCCTCGAGGTTAGTGGACCATTACTATTAAGGATGAAAATGTGTCTGTCATTTCTGTATAGGCCTATTTTTGGATCTACTATTCGACTGAGGGTATCTAAAATGTAAATGCATATTAAATCTGCAACCGTGGCTAAATCACATGCACCTATAGGGACATATCTTGCCTAACGTCTGACTGAAACAGTGAAATGTGTAAACTGTGTATAAGTTTTTTTCGGCAAGTTAAGATTTAAGTTTACCCTTTAGCTTCCAATATCAATTCCTCACAGTTAACTGCTACATTCCACGTCCTCTAAGTTTACAGACAAGAAGTACATTTCATTCCACACTATTGCAAAATCTAAACAAATCATCAAGCAGATTATAATTTTGTATATTTTTAAATATTTTTGCATTTCTTCCTTTATCGCTTATAGCACAAAGCAAAATGAAATGTTGAAAAAGTAAAGTTGCCAGTTTGCTGCTCGTCTCTTCTATCTTTAAATGAAAGTAACTAATCTTAACAAAACAATAATAAAATTGAATTTCGATCAAATAAATCACCGTATGTGTTCCGGTTACGATCCAACTTTGGGTACTGCAAAGACACTTTTACGCTTCACCGGTATCGAACCGGTTAGACATATTGATCAAATTTACGTACTTGGCAGTTCGATCAACATATTTTGACAGCTTCTAATAGGAACATTTTATCAGCGTTCTGACAAACATATGTAAAATTAGATACAGGAGCCAGATAAACAAGGCTTGAATATAAAGCCGACTAAGGAACTATGCCTGCTAAATAAGGTTTGGTTAGCGATTCGATGGTAGTGGGCAGTGGAGGTGAAATAATTGGCGAATGAGATAACCTGATACGTTTGTAGCATTTCATGATATTGCGGTCCCCTGATCACCTTGGTTTGATTCGCTAAATGTCTTGTTTTCATATTTTCTTTTTCTTTTCCAGTTTCCTTTGTTGTTGTTTTTTTGTATTTTAACTACTACTTCAATTTCACCTTTCTTTTCTCCATCATCTGTTTCTTTTCAGCTTTATAATCGACATTCTTCGATCTTCAGTTTTACTCTTTAGTTCTCTTCTGAGTTCTTCCTCTTCTTCATCTTCATTTCTCTCTCTATGTTTTAGCCTTTTTCACCTCATCTATTTTTATATTTCTTTCTTTTGTATCCAAATTTCCTTCGTTTTTTTCTTAGATTTTATCTTATTTTTATTTCTTTTTCTTCTTTGATATCTACATTTCTATCATAATTTCCTGTTTTCTTTTCATCTTTTTTTCGTCATTGATATCCGAATTCCCTTCAGAATATAGCATCCATTTGTTTCTAGAATTTGAGATGAAACAAAGGGAAAAAAGAAAAAGAAAGAAGCATTATTCATATTCCAAAACTTCCTATTTTTACTTTGTTTAAATATTCCCTCAATTCTACGTCTACTATTTTTTACCTTCCAGTCTGATTTCTTCTTCTTCTTCTTCTTCTTCTTCTTCTTCTTCTTCTTCTTCTTCTTCTTCTTCTTCTCATTATTATTATTATTCATCTGCTTCTTCATCATCATCAGCATCATCATCTGCTTCTTCTTCATCCTCTACTTCTTCGTCTTCTTCATCATCATCATCATCATCATCATCATCATCATATATTTCTTCTTCATCATCAGCATCATATATTTCTATTTCTTCATCATCATCATTATTTGCTTCTTCATCATAATCATCTGCTTTTTTTTTCCTCTTCATCATCATCATCTACTTCATCATCACCTGCTCCTTTTTTCTTCTTTTTCATCACCATCATCATCATCATCATCATCTACTTCTTCTTCATCATCGTCATCATCATTAAAATCATCTATTTCTTCATTAAAATTTGCGTCTGCTTTTTCATTTTCATTCAGTTTACTTGTCTTAATTCTCGCTCATCTGCTATTTTCGACTATTTTTTGCCTGTTGTTTGTACTGCATATATTTTTATTTATTGTTCTAATTATCTTTTCTTAACTTTCTATGGATAGGTCCCCCTTCCCATTTTATATCCATTCTCTTTTCTTCCCTATATCTGCATCTTCACTTTTTTTTTTTACAATCCTTAATTAATTTTCCTTTTTTTTTAATTTCCTTCTTTTTTTACTCTTATTTTCATCGTCATTTTCATTTCCTTCATTTTGTATTTTCTCTCTATATTTCTATTTTCTGTTTCTTCCTTTTTATACCTTCATTTCCTCATACTTCCTTTCCTATTTGTCTTCTTCCTTAATCTCTTACTCATTTAAATTCCACCTGTCCTTCCCTGACACATCATATTCATCATTTATCTATGTCTTATTTATTTACTTTTCTTCCATTTTCTCTTTTCTTTAATTCTTCTTTTTTTCCTGGTTTCCCTCTTTAATTTACGAGATCTTTTTCTCTCCAAAATTAAACTCCTCTTCAGTCCTTTTTCCTGCATTTTCTTCATCCGACAAATTCATATTCTCCATATTTCTTTTCCTTCTTCTCCTAGGCTTTCTTCATCTTTCAAAATATGTTTTTAAATCTTTTTCTACCCTCCTTATATTCCTCGTTTTTGCATATTTTTATCTTCATTTCTTGCATTTATCATCTTTCCGCTTATTTCTTCGACATCATCAAATTAGACCCATTTTTCACAAGTAAGGACTTGTGCTTCCTGCATCGATTATTCTCTGCTTCTATTTCTAATACCCCTTTTTACATTACAACCACCAACGCATGATTATAATATTTCTATTATGACTTTTTACTCGTTGAGTCTCCACAGTTGTTGTTTCTGGTGATTCTCAAAGCAGAAGTATCCCTAAATATCCACCAATGATTATTTTTTGCTGATTTTAGTTACCATATGTTTCAGCTAAGCTTTACCTTTCTCCTACATTTTCAAAAATGTGTTTATTATTATTATTATTATTATTATTATTATTATTATTAATTTTATTATTATTATTATTATTATATTTCGATTTTTGCCATGGTCAAACTACTTACAAAATCTGCGGGAAGACCTAAGGCAGTTAGTGATGTGTTGTTATGGCTATATATCATGATTTGTTTATTCAACTTGCATAACATCACTAGAGTTACATGGACAAAGTTCTTATTAGTACGTGGGCTGTACTTATCAAGGCATTTTTTTGTATTTCTCTTAAGCTGGCATTTATTATTATTACTAGTGTACCCTCGCCGTATCAGACACGCTTTCTGATAATATATTTTCGGGTCTTTTTCTTCATAATTTTATGATGTATTCGGTTTCCTTCATTAATTTCTAGATATTTCTATGTATCAGCTTGGTCTAGTTAACCTTGTTGTCAATATCAAGTTTTAAATCTGTACATTTCGTTAGTTTAGCACATTTGAAGGTGGCTTTGGCACATTTGTCGACTCCAAACTCCATGTTAATGCCTTCACTGTTGTTCAGTAAGCAGCTGAGTGACGCTAATGCCAGGCAGAAAAGTAGTGGTGACTATGAATCTGCTTGGAAGATTCCGCTTTTGATGTTGATTGGTGTCGATTTTATGTCCCGTTTGTATGGTTTAGGTTTAGTTTAGTCCTCCTTTTTTTTTCATTCTCTCCGTTATGAATTTGACTGTTGTGGAATATACTCTCAATAGTTTTAGGCTCTTCTTTATCCATAAGTGTGGTACACTGTAGAACGCCCTTCTGTAGTTGATCCACGCTATCGATAAATTTATTTTGCTTGTTTTCACTTCCAATATTGTTTTAGTGGTAATTAGTTCGTCTTTATTTCCTTTTATTTCTATTGTATGAACATTTTCTCTCTGGGTACCAACCAGAGACATAAGATTATTAATTTCATGATATTTTCTACTGATCATTTTTGTAAAAAAAAAAATAACGAATTAAGATTACACACATTTTAAATAGATAAAGTTCTTCGTAATAATGTGAACTGTACTTTTGAGTACAATTTCTTGTATTCGTTTAAGGTATTGGTTACTAGGAATCCCTTCAATGATCGGAACATTTTCAAATCAATCAGAAAGTTCCAACTACAAATGAAATTGTTGATGTTCTCATGTGCCACATGTTTTAGATTTCGATTTCAAGATCCTTGTAGTTTGATAGCTTTTTGAAGAACTTCAAAGATACATTACCGTCTGCAGAGACTGCCATAATTAAGAAATCACAATCTGCTCTCATGGTCTTTGATTATTATTATTTCATTTGATTTCAGCTGTAAACAAATATCATTCAGGGTCCCAAATAGAGATCCAAGGTAAAAAATGGCTTCAAGACATTGTCCCTTGATCATTTATGTAAAAATATTTTTATTATTATTATTATTATTTTATTTCCTTTGATTTCTGGTGTATACTCATTTCGTTCCAGAGACCTAATGTCAGAATGACATCATGATATTTTCCACTGAGCAATTACAAAAAAATCACTCATTACATAGATAAAGCTGTGGGATGTACACGTGAGAACATTTTTTTTTTGTATTTCTCTAAGGCATGGGTTACCAGGAATCCATTTTGAGTACAATTAGCTGTATTCGTTTAAGGTATGAGTTATCAGGAATCCCTTCACTGAGTCTATCGGAACCTTTCAAATCACTCCGAGGGCTTCAACTACAACTGGAATTCTTGATGTTCTCATGTGCAACATTTTTCAGATTTCGATTTTCAAGGTCCTCGTATTTTGATAGCTCCAAAGATACATTGCAGTCTGCAGGGAATGCCATAACATTAAGGAGGCAAAATCAAGATGTCTGATCAAGTCCTGAGCAGCAACAATGAAACCTTCGGTTTCAGCTTTTAACTCAGCACTACGTTACCCACTAATGCGTATGGGGTTTGTCTACATCAGCTTGTTTGGTACGGGCAGAGTATTGAACGTGAAGTGGTTAATCTTGCCATCGTTTCTGTATCTGGTCGGTTACATTTGCCTTTGCTTTCTTTTTTTTAGTGTTTTGCAGATTTAATCGGTGCATTGTGGTTTACTTGTATTTCATAACCCATATGAAAAAACATTTTGAACTTCTTGGATTCTTTTATTACTGAATAGAGTCGCTTAATACTTTCATGTTCTTTTTTTCATCATCCCGTCTCCTCTAGGTTCCAGGTGCCTTTGACGGTCAATTGTTGTAGGTTTGTAAGACAGTTCTAGATGAACTAATCCTCTGCCTTCTTCCGATCTGAGTACATACAGATGATCAACATCAGTCTTGAGATGATGCATGCAGTGGTAGGTGAAGAGCTTTCTCATTTTCGCGTCCATTCACTTAATGTCAGTCATGGTTTCATATCTGATATATATATATATATATATATATATATATATATATATATATATATATATATAGAGAGAGAGAGAGAGAGAGAGAGAAAGTGTACAATATTGAGGCGACACTTCAACTTCCTTGCTGTTTTTTGGCAAAGCGTTTGAGATCATCCACATAGAGATGAGGGAATACTTTCTTGTTTAGTTTGTAACCATAGCTATTGTTGATTAGTTCATGCTTAAGGGGAATTAAGGACAGACAAAACAGAAGTAGTGACAGGGAGTCTCCTTGAAAGATTCCTCGTCGGATATTCAGGCGCTGGGTGATGGCAGTGCCTCTGGTGCGATTTAGGTATAATGTGGTGTTCCATTTTCTCATGCCGTGTTTAAGGAAATTTACTATCGTAGGAGAGACATTGTACATTTCCAAAGTCTTAAGGATCCAAGAGTTTGGTACACTATCAAAGATTTTACGGCAATCTATCCATGCTGTGGTAAGATTTCTAAATTGTCTACATTTTCCAGGATCCTTTTGTTTAGAAGTATTCGATCTTTGCAACCATATGAAGCTCCCCGGCATCCCTGCCGTGGAAGAATGTTTAGTTCGAGAAAAAAAGTAAGCACGGTTCTTCAGGACAGACGTGATCAATTTACACGTGGTGGACATGTTATTAGCCTATAATTTTTCGGGTCATCTGTTTCACTCATTTTCGGTATGAGATATGAAATATGAGGTATTATTATTATTATTATTATTATTATTATTATTATTCCCCACAATATTTACGTTGATTTTTAAGAAGTTTATTTCAGGTCACTCCTCGAAACAATAAAATAAAACTATCCTTCGTTTTTTATCGACGGGCTGTATACAATAACTTTTGAAATAGCCTTCTTGTCCCAAGAAAGTATGATTACTGTAATGACCCTATTTCCAAATTGCAATCTATTATCTGCAATGTTTTTTTTTTTGTACAACACACCAATGTCCAGCAGCCATTATTACTGTAATTGCATTATTTGCTACTCTTACAAATTTCAGACTTTAAAATCAGTGCAGTTTTCATTTTCTCCTTTTTTTTTTTCGTCTTTTTTTTTTGCTTTCAGTTCTCTCGTCCAGTGGAGGGAGCGTAGAAATGATGATTTACACAAGAGACCAAGTTACAGCAAATATCCCTATTACTCCAGCACTCTAGCATGTTTAAGTTACATAGTCGTTTGTTTTAGTTACGTAGTATTCTTTGGAGTTATATTTTTCAAATTTCTTTATCACTATTGATGCCAATAAAATGTATACAATTCTTCATTACATGTACTACACTACGTTTTATGTTCATTTGCATGGTTAACATATTTTTTCTAGGATTTCATTCTATGTCAATCTGAATAAATGGTCTGGTGTGGTAGATTGATTATTTTATGACTTATTAACCTTTTATGGCTTATTTAAATCAGAAACATATTTTGTATAGTAATAATAACTCTTCTTTTATGACCGATTTATATCTTTGTCTGGAATTCGATCTCAGCTCTCAGATTTCTCGTTTCGAGCCGATATTCATTACACTAACCGCGCCTTTGTCTATTAAGTATAAACAAATACTAATAATTTTTCTTGTTTACGATTACTATATCGAACGCATCGGAATGGATAATCTGCTAGTATTTCGTACTTACGAATAATATTTATTTAGTTATTCTGTTTTCTAGGAGGACTTCTTCTACACTTGTCTATAGAATTGAAGTGCATTGGAAATTCCAGTTATTTTAATTGGTTTGAATATATCAGCTTCGCTGACCACTCTATCTTCAAAACTAAATTGTTCCATTCCCTAATCATTTAGTGGACGATCTTACTCTCTAGTTTTAATTCGTTGTATTTTGGGCCTCTTTTAGCTCAGTATAATTTGGTTTTCCCAGAAAAGTTCTGAGTAAGATGTTTTAAAAACTTCTTGTTACCATGTCAATCTCTCTTTATTCGTATTTTATTTCTTCTATTGCTATCCTGAAATATCTGTACAATTTTTTACAACTTTTTTTTTGTTTTCCCATTTAGGAGATGGCTGATATTTGACAACTACATCTGCTATTAAGTTTGACTGTCATATATAATATTTTATTATTCTGCATAATCTAACACTGGTTTTAATAGGGAGATCAATGCTACCCTCAGCCCTAAGTTTTTTTCCTGTAGTTTCTGTTCCTATACAATATATTGATGTCTCTCCTCTAAAGTAAGGTTTTATAAGTAGTCATTCACGTATTTGTATCT